GGGGGGGGGAGGCGACAGGTACGGTCCGGGCGGGTCAGCCGCCGCCGGTAATCCGCGCGGCGCCGAGGTGTCTGGGCGACAGTCAAAGGGTCGCCCCGGAGTCCCGTTTGGATGAACTCGTCGCCGGATGAGATGCCATAAAACTCAGGTGTCTCATTCGTCCCTACAATGGGAAGGTGCAGCGCACATGGTCAGTGCAGGACTGGGCTTGCTCGGGCGGCCAGGATGCTCGCGGTCATTGGCATGCCGCGGGTCAGATCAAAGGGCTTGTTTTGCCCCAAGATGGCACGTAGGAGTTTGCAAACAGATGGCAGAAGTTTACGTGGGAGGGGTAAAGAGCTTCTGGTCAGTCATTCTGAGCTAGCTTCCGAAGAGACAACATCGTCCCGTGCACTTTGCGCTCCGTCCAGTTGTTTCAAGCCAGTGTCCGTCGAGTCGATATGCTTGTGTTGAGTGCTCGTGTCGTCGTGTGTTTCTATGTGTGCGTGTGTGGGCTAAAAGTGTTTTGAGTTATGAGTGACAAGTGATGCAATTAGGCTACTGTGCGACCAAAACAAGTACTCCATAAGGTAAGTAACGCCTTTTATTTGCATGTATCACGGATCAGTACTGATAAACCGAGTGTTCAATCAATGTTCCAATAGTGTTCAACTCCGTTGTTGTGCACTTGCAAGTGTTCAGCTCCTTTGTTGTGCACTTGCATGTGTTCAACTCCTTTGTTGTGCACTTGCATGTGTTCAACTTCGTTGTTGTGCACCTGAAAGTGTTCAACTTCGTTGTTGTGCACCTGCAAGTGTTCAACTCCGTTGTTGTGCACTTTCAAGTGTTCAACTTCCTTACATTAGACGCAAATTGTGAGAGACGTGTTCAACAGTAGGGCTCTGAACACCCGGCCCGCGGGTACCCGCGTAACCCGGGTAGGAACCCACGTACCCGGGTTGACCCGGTATGTGAAATTGCCTACCTACAGGTGCGGTTCCGCCCGTACCCGGGTACGCGGGTAAAATTGAGAGCCCTATTCAACGGAGTAATCCATTTGCAAGTGCACAGCCGAGTAGAATAACACTTACAGGTGCACAATAAGTACCAATACAAAACTTTGCAATTTTTCAACTTGCAACACATACAAGTGTTTACCGGTTGAACACTTGGTTTATCAGTGTAAGTGCCCGTCCTTTTAACCCTTCAGATGTAAGCGTGTACCCTGAATTATCAAATGTGTCGACAAAACACCGCGAACCAAGTATAACCGCGGCCCGCGTGTGCCGAAGCGACCAGGAACAACCTGCGGGTTGCGAGTGCACTCGCGAGGGTTTATGTTTGCGATGCATGTAATGACATGTCGTGGGCCCAACCCCGCGAGTATCCCCACCCCCGCCGTTGGGGTGCTTGCGACCTTTGGGCCTCGCGACGTCTCATTTCGCGGGGCACAGCGGCAGCCCGGGGTATATTTCGAGTGTTTGTAATCACATATTTGACAATTTCGGAGCATGCGTACGCACACGATTTACAAATGCCATGCACCTAGTGCAAATGAGCGACTAAATTCTAACACTGTGTGAATTTATTTGTTCACCTAGAGGTGTGTGACATTCGTACACTTGGGTTTTGCGGGGTCCGTTCGTGTACTACTGTCGATTTTTACTGTCTCCATTTACGTAATCTATTTCTGTCTCTAAACTGAATACATGTTTCTACAGGCCTGTCAAAATGAAGAGAAAGTACTCCACTTTTAAAATTTTTGATTCAAGTGTCTCGCCTATTGACTGGTCTCGCTGTGTGGTATGCCAAACTGATAGACCGGAAGAACTAACAACTCCAAGTCGAAACAGACGGGCGATAAAGAGTAATGGAATTTCGACCATCAGTAGGAATCTTAAAAAATTTCAAGCCTTAGGCAAAGTTCCTCGTAACGCTAATGTTGACGCATTAGATGCAGGAAGGGGTATAGAGGCCAATCTGTTAGAAAATGACGCCAAATGGCATAAAAGTTGCTATTTGCAGTGCGGTGACAGCAAGGTCGCAAAAGTAGAAAAGAAATTGGCGTCAGAAAACATTCCACCACGAACGCCACTATCCACTCTTACTCGTCAAGGACCTGGCATAAACAACACTCCTGTTGCACAAGCACGCAGCTGTTTTGTCTGCTCAAAACCTGCTACAAGAAAATATCCTTTGAACAGAATTGCCGAAGAGGGTAGACTGTTGGATATCGCAAGAAAATGTGGAGACGACAGGGTATTGGTTATACTTCAAGGGTGGCAGACCTCTGCTGGTGTTTGGTATCACAACACCTGCCGAAGTACTTATATCAGGGAGAACGGACAGCCACTGACTGCCCCAACACCTCATCGGGATTTTTACGCTGAGGCTTTATTCACTGTCATTGCTCATATTAACGCAGCAAAACAGTCCTCTGAAGATTATCCCGTCTTTGTAATGACTGATCTGGCTCACATATATACTGAAAAATTAAAACAAAGCGGAATTGAAATAGGTACGCACACGAGCCGCCTGAGGGAAGAATTGCTTAAAGAGTGCCCTTACCTAGAGGCGTCTGTGAAACGTGGACAAAAATGTTTAGTTTCATTTAAGAAGGACATCAACACCACGTTGAGGAGAGAGGTTTCGGGAGTGGGCGGTGAAGTGGAAGAGTTGGAGAGGGCAGCAGATTTACTGCGACGCCACATTTTTAGTCACAGCGCTGGAAGCTGGGCCGCCATGTCTACAGAGTGTGTGTCAACAAGCACTCCACCTGTGCTGCAACACTTTGTGAAAAGACTCATTGACGGCCCCAATGCTTCACAAAATGAAGATAATGCTGGATCTACGATCAGTCAGTTAATTTTCTTCAACGCGAGAAAACGTCACAATGGCAAGTTTCGCCGTCAGTGTGCTGACCGTGAAACACCAGCACCAGTATATGTGGCAATGAAACTATTTGGAGCAACAAGAAGCAAAGATTTAGTAAATAGGATGTGCAAATTAGGATTGTGCATCTCTTACAGCAGATTGAAACTAATCCTAACGGAAAGGGCTAACAAGGCATGCACACGTTATCTGCAGGACCGTGTGGTGTGTCCACTTTCCCTTGAAACAGATGCCTTCACAACTGTGGCAGTGGATAATTTGGACCACAACACAACCTCCATGACAGCAAAAGGAGCATTCCATGGCACAGTAATCTCTGTTACGCAACATGGACCACCAGGTATTTGTCACTCTTTTGAGCGTTAATTGCAAATTTCTGTTTCTCTCCCCTACACCCAAAGGGCATTGTAAATATATTTGTGAACATTAACAATATTTTTTCGTAACTTGTAATTTGTAATTGGTGCATACACTGATAAAACAAATGTGCAACTGCACAACACTTGTAAGTGTGCAACATCAAGTTGAATACCTGCAAGTGTGCAACCTCAAGTTGAATACTTGCAAGTGTGCAATCTCAAGTTGAATACTTGCAAGTGTTAACTCAGTAGTAGTGCACTTGCAAGTGGTCAACAGGGTCGTTGTGCATTTGTAAGTGGGCAACTCTTCTGTTGAACACTTCTCTCGATCGGACGCTTACTGTGAGGGAAGTGTTCAAAAGAGGAGTAGCACACTTACAATTACACAAATACCGAGTTGAACACTTGCAAGTGTACTAATGTGCATTAAAATATGCAGTAGGATATAAAAGTGCACGAATTCGACACACCTGTATCTCAATGAAAAATTCACTCGCCTGCAGTTGTGCGACATAATTTTCACACTTGCAGATGTGCAAATGATAATTCACACACAAGTGTACTAACCGCTACACCTCTTCCTGTGAGTGAATATTTTGTCGCACACATGTAGGTGTGTGAATCTTCTTCTCACTTGCAGGTGTGCGATATTCGTACAGTTGGGTTTCCAGTGTAATGTGTGTTAAATGTTACCTTTTGTGCGCATTTTATACCCATTGTATAATTAATAATACTATGCTTTATCTGCACACAGGTGGTCTGCGACAAACTGAGGCCTCTTCAGATGTTTCTTCACGAAAAGTGCTGGGGCTCCCGTCGGAATATACATCTGTCCCACTAACCTTTCTTGATTGTGGGCAATCGCGTTGTCCCGTCTCATCTGAAAGCCTCCCCCAAAGGCTTTTCGCTGATCCTGCTAAAGAGGAAAACGATTGGCTTGACGCATGCGGTCAGAAAGAAACTATCAACACCTGGTCTGGATTCCATTCAAGGCGATCCGATGAAGTTCGTCACGAATCGAGATTTGCTGTGCTTCCGCCATTCCATGTACTGGCTCACACGGTGGACATGATGTCGCACAGCATGACCATAGCCCAGACAACAACCAAGATTCTGAACCCAGCACAGCAGGTGTCTGTACTAACAGGCGACCTGCCACTATTCTCACTGTGCAAGCAGATACAGTGGCTACGCCCCGGTGAGATGGGAGAGGAAAAAATGTTCATAATGATGGGTGGAATGCATATAGAGAAAGCAGCTTACACTGTCCTCGGAGATCTGCTGGAGGGAAGTGGCTGGTCGGCTGCACTTGTCCAAGCAAAAATAACTACTAAGGGCAGAGCTGACTCCATGATATCCGCCTCTCATATAACGAGAACTAGATACGCCCACCAGGTATGTCACAGTTCTCTTTTACCAAAATGTACTCTGCTAAATATTTTTATTTACGACATTTCGTTCACTATGTTTAGGTCACTGCTGCTGTCTTCCACAGTCTGAAGAAAAAGGCGTACGAAGATTATGCAGGTGACGAACCACTTTCCTTTCAGGACTGGTGCAGTTCAAAAGAAAACATACCACAATTTAAATATTGTGATACTGTTCTGAAACTGATTCTGGCCATACTCCAGTTCGTCCGAGCAACACGCACGGCAAATATTGTACTATACATTGAGGCTCTGTGTAGAATTGTCCCTTACTTCTTTGCCATGGACCACACACACTATGCAAGGTGGCTACCTATCCACATAAGAGACTTGGTAAATCTACCAAAGAGTCACCCACAGCTATGGGAGGAGTTTAAGGCCGGTCATTTTGTTGCTGCTAAAACTTCAAGGCGGTTTTCCAAAATAGCTCTTGATCAAGCACATGAACAGATCAACGCCATCTTGAAAGGAAATGGAGGTAAAACAAAACAACTTTTCTCGCTGTTTTCTTCCACAGATAAAGTATGCAACTGGCGTGCACATGCAAGTGCTAAACACTATGTGGCACACTTTTAATTGTGTGGACTGGATATTTTAATTTTAATACTTACAAGTGCAACAGGAATTTATAACACTTTAAAGTGTCCAAAGCCTCACGGTCAACCCCTTAAGTTGAACACTTGTAAGTGTTGAACTTTACTTAAACACTTTTTTGGATTCAAATATCTAGTCAACCACTTAAAAGTGTGAAACGCAGTGTTGAACACTTGCATATGTGCACGCTAGTTACACACTTTATTTATCAGTGTATATATTTTCTTTTTTTTAAAGGGGGGATACACTGCTTGTATACTCTGCTTATAAATATTGTTTCAGGTATAGTGGGTTTGACGGAGAGTCCATCCGCACTTCTGAAGTGGATTTTGTTCTCTCCAGAAATTGCCGACATTGTCGCAAAATTCGAGGAGGGTGCATTCAGTTCAGATCCTGATTCAGATTTACATCACCTTGATACGGAATCTGCACGTGAAACTTTTTCAAGTGATATCAGCGCTTTAGAAGAATATTTTATTGAGACATCAGGTAAATATATCGGCGCGTTCCCCGCGCCCCCTTAAATCAGGGTTGTAGCCGGGTGCCTTAAAACATCCCGCCATCCGTTCAATTTGTTATAACAATTGCAATGTTTACGTACATACTTACAGGAAATCCATTTGCTGCGGAGGGATCAGACCTGTACAACTTCGATACACGTCGCTGTGCATCCAAAGAAGTGAGCAATACTTTTTTGAACTTGGAGGCTCTTGGGAATGAACAGTACCAGAAATACACTGAAGAAAGGCTTGTGGCAGGGACGGTTTCAATTCACGCCCCGATAAAACATAACAAGCTGCCCACATTTTCCAAAAATAATCGATCTGCTGGGAAGAAGCAGCAGAATGAGCAAATTAAGGCACTTAAAGAAGAGAGTAATCTTTTCGGAAGAATGTTTGTAGCCATCAGCAACAGTAGGCCATCAAACCTGAATCTGTTTTTCTCACATGAAAGCCATGAGTTCCCTCCGTCACTTTTTTATAGTGATGGGAAAATGAGGTTTCCAGAGAAGTGTGACCTGCTCAATGACTGCCTCTTTCCACTTCAAAGTTCTCAGCTAGACAACTGCCCGAATGTCACAGCAAAAATAGTAGATGGTGGTTACATTGCCCGTCTACTTACACCCGGGATTTCAGTGACATTTTTGGAATTTAGAAACAGAGTGTTTATACCTTATTTACTGCAAGAGAGTTCTACTGTATCTAGAATGGACATTGTATGGGACAGGTAAGTTAAAATTGAATGCAAACTGCTGTCCTTTATAGTGCAATTATTTTAATTTTAATTATTTTATTAAAACATATTTTTAAATTTAGGTATATTGTGGACAGTCTAAAGTCGATGACGAGGGAGAATCGAGGTGAGGGGTGTAGGACACTCGTAACTTCAGGAACTAAAATACCCAAAAACTGGCAGGACTTCTTAAGAAATTCTGAGAACAAAACCGAATTTTTTGCCCTTATGGCTGAGGGCATACCCCTTTGCAAAGTTGCATGTCACCTGTACTCCACTTTTGGGGAGGCCGTTCTGACCAACAGTGAGAGATTGGATGTATCCTTCATCTCACCATGTAATCACGAAGAAGCCGATACTCGAGTTTTTCTGCATGTGGCCGATGCAGTCCGCTTGGGACACAGCAAGATCCTTATTAGAAGCAGTGATACGGACATCGTTGTTCTTGCCGTGACCTGCTTGGAGATGCTCCCATGCTTAAAAGAGTTGTGGATTCACACAGGAACAGGGAAGAGACGGCGGTACATTGCTACTCATGAAATAGCAAACTCGCTCAAGCTGAAGCTAGGTAAAACTCTCTCTTATTGGAGCAAACAACATGATTTGTTTCGTTATATTTTATATACTAAGTGTCCGATTTAACCCCGCTCACCGCTCACTTCTGTAGTTATACTGTACTGCACGCAGGAGTGCGGGCGGGCTTGCCTATCGCCCCTGTACACGCCGCCTTACGGGTCAAGCGAGTAGGCAACCCGCCCGCACTCCTGCGTGCGGTACAGTATAACCACAGATGTGAGCGGTGTTAATCAGTCACCTGGTATTAGTACATTGACATATTGCATTTTCTTTTAACAGGACCCAGTATGCCATTAGCACTGCCAGCTTTCCATGCTCTAACAGGCTGCGATACAGTTGAAGGCTTCCACAAAATTGGCAAAAAGTCGGCCTGGAAGGCTCTCATATTGCGTCCTGAAACAGTAGAAGCTCTACTGAATTTGGCTGTTGGTAACATTGCAGAAGCACAGAATGATCTCTTCCACTTTATCATGGCAATGTACAGCGCGTAAGTATTTTTCCATTAAAACATAAATTACTTTGCAACTGAAATAATGATTTTTTTTATGACTGTTTCCCTTTTCTCACAGTAGACAATTTGCATCATTAACCGAATGTCGTCGGTCACTTTTTGGCGGCAGTTGCAGCCGTTCCATGAAAACTATTCCTCCTACTGAAGATGCGTCTGTACTACATTTCTTGAGGGCTTCCCACCAAGCACAAGTATGGAGTCAGCTCACTGTAAAGCAGCAGGCACTTCCCTCACCATCCGATTGGGGATTTTTACGGGGAGAAGACGGATGGAAACCCGTTTATCGCACGAAACCAACGGCTGAGGTTGCCTGCAAAGACATTGTTGTAAAATGTCATTGTAAGGTAGTGTGCGTGGGAAATTGCAGCTGCTTCAAAGTGAACCAAAAATGCACGGACTTGTGTATATGTCCCTGTAAAGTAAATGAACATGTGGCTGTAGAGTAAAGTGTGTGGTATCATAGCATCAACTATAAATAAACAGTACTTTGTCATAAATAACAGAATCTTATGTCGCTCGCATTATGTTTTTTTCGGGGTGTTCTGGGCAATCATAATGACTTTTTCTCGGCACACAATCTCGCACACTCACACTTACACAACGTATTCCGGGTGTACGGCTATAAAAGTAAATCGATGTGGTCTATATATTTTTTCAGAAACGTGTTTACGCCTTAGAAGTAGGCAACCCGCTATAATCACCCGGAATACGTCAAAATATAATGTAAGTCCCATTGCAAGAACCATTGGGATCGTTAAGGGCCTGAAAAGTAATTGTTACGCGTTTTTTTGCAATTTTGCCCCTGCGTAGTATGCAACTAGCTCGTCGCGGGTGGTACAATTGTAAAATACAGGTGTGCAACAGCTCTTGATAGTACCCTGTGGGTGCGTACAACAAAACCACTAGAAGGTTTCGCCAGAGTGTGAATTGATTACACCTAAAAAGTACAACCTACGGCAGTTTTAGGGGCGTTTTGGCACGAGTGCCCCTCCCCCCCCCCTTCCCCACTTACACACCTACCTCCACTATAACAAATCCCCGCAAGCACTTATGCGCACTGTAGCACGCATATTTGCCGCAAAGAACACTTTTTTAAAATGATAGCCAGTTTTTGTAATTTTTACGCCTTACAGGTAGGCAACCCGCTTAATAGTGCAAACCATGTTTATGCATACTGTATTACTCATTTTTGGAACCATTCCGCCCAAAACATGCTCGAAAAAATCATGTTTTACGTGCTTTCTGCATGTTGCCCCTGCCGAGTATGCAACCCCCGTACACCGGTCCAGTCGCGGGTTCGAGGTGGGCTCCACTTCGGAAAAGTATCCCCTGGATGTGTACTACAAAACCCTCCAAACCGTTTTGCTCTACTACAAAATGCAATGTTGAATCGCTTGTTTACCGGACTACTGCTGCCGGTGCCGGTCGGCACAATCGCCTTTTGC